GACGCCATGTGCTTTGATGGTGTTAAACGCTTGGGAATTATCCGAGGAAAGCTGCGAAAGAAGGTAAGTCACTGATTTTAGAGTCTCCTTAAACTATTTCAAGTCAAATCAGAAAAAATGTTCTACATATATTTTGTAGGATACATTTATAGACTGCAGATTAAAATATTTTTACTATAAAAACACGTTTCTCTTAACCTAAATAAGATTGAATGTAAAAGAGGTTAAAGGCGAGCGAATTATTTTCAACATGACACGTTTTCGTTTTTAGGTTTGGATAAACCAAGGCGACATTATCCTGCTAGGTTTGCGAGATTACCAAGATGCCAAAGCAGACGTTATTCTCAAATATACTCCTGAAGAAGCGCGAAATTTGAAATTATACGGCGAATTTCCAGAATCCTTTAAAATTAGTGATGATGTTACGTTCGTGGAGAACGATCTGGACGAATATATTGAATTTGGAGAATACGTGAGCTCAGGAGATGATGCTGATCCTGTGGATGTTATCTGATTAACATGTAAAAATGGCAAATTAAAAAATATATTTATATGTTTAAGTAGGCAATTCAATGTACAATATATAAATTAGTCTTAATATTATGTGTCAATTATATTAAACCTGAATTTGACAATGTACATTAATTTGACAAATTGACTGATAAATTACTGACGAATAATTTGTTCTTTTTAAATACAATTTATTCATTCAATTAATTTGAACCGGACCTAAAAATTAATTTTCATTTGCCGCATGTAATTCCTGTCTATACTCCGCTATTGGCCGTATTAAAAATATTGCAAATTATTCGACAGGCTCATTGCTGTCAATGTAGCGATTCAGAATGTTAGGTAGGCTTAAATAAAATATGTAATGAAATTAATGGATCTCTTTTTTCGTGTATCAGACTCCTTTGGATCATGATAAATGTACTTCCAAATTTTTACCTTTTCTTGTTAAAAACATTGTAATTTTTAAACGAAAAGCGTTGTATTGCTCTCTTATCGATGGATTTAATCTTGTGACGTTAATCTTCTAACCTGATTTTCAACTGTTTTGGAGCTAAAAACCAATACTTATTCAAGTTTGCTCACCCCGTTTCAAGATTAAGTGTTGAATTTATAGAAAATAATTATGTATAAAAGTTGTAGATACTAAAGTCATTTTTTTTTAAATAGTAACAATTGCTACATGGTGTCTCAAAGTCAAGTGAGAAACCCAAATTACCCTTTTTAAACAGAACGCCATACATTTTATTGCATGTTCGAGCAATGCGTAAAATTCTAGGCCTATTCGATATAAGTGTTCCATATTAATCAACAAAGGTTTTTGAGTTAATAGTAAATTAAATTTTTGGGCATTCCACTTGAATTTGAGACGCCTTGAAGCAATTGTTATGTTGAAAAAATTAGCTAGACGTCAATATCTACAAGTTTCAAATTAGATGTTAAAACTCTGACCTAGCATTCAACTATTTTTCTAATTGCATTAAAAATGACCCGTTT